ATATATATATATATATATATATATATATATATATGTTCGAGAATCATTTATCACTTCATTTAAATAAATTGCTCAACAGTCTCAGTTTATTTTCAAGAATAAAATCTTTGTATTCATATGTATAACTAATTTCTAAAACATTATTTAAAAAATGGACCTCAACAGATCTCTTGCAAATTTCAAGACTATCATTAAAAAAATCATCAAAATCGGTTGAAATCCAAGGACTCTAGACATTTTTGAAACAACGCATGCCGAATGGCCTAATCCAAGCTGGCGCCTCGTACAGGGCCACGGATGCCACGTTGAGGTAGAAGCGGCGGACACTCCAATTTAAGCGTCCAATGTTCTACATGAGGCCGGCAAGGGCGTTGTCGTCCCACGGAACCTTGGAGGCCACACGCTCGAAATGAGCGGTGAACCTCTATCTGCCATCCAGCATAAGTAAGAGCTAGAAAGTTATTACGGAAAGCAGCATATTGATTGGCTGTCGCGCGAATTTCCGCCGCGCGGCAAACATTACCGCGTCCTGTGTGCAAGAGCTATAAGGCCTAAATATTTCATCTGAGCCCCCACTGTAACGGGTACTCCGTGCACCAGGAGCCTGATGGGCGGTGGCGCTTCATGTCCACTGTTATGGAAGAACATCGCCTCCGTTGTATAGGGTGTCACCTTGAGATTCAAACTCCTGATGGCTGTTCAGATCAACCAAAAAGGTTGAAGATGCCAAATTTCAGGCACCGTTGGATAAAAACTCAGCTCAAATGCTTCAAGAATTAGCTAAAACATTAAATAGTGATAAATCAACCGTTTCTGATCGTTTATACGCAATGGAAAATATTCAAAAAAAGATAAATGAGTTCTATATGAATTGTCTGAATTAACTATTCAAAATTGTTTTATCCTTTGAGGACAGGGGTTGCTGAAAAAGTGAATTATGGGAAAGCTAGTGTTAAAGGGTAATTTTGTCGCTTAATCCTAATCTGATCTTAGCATTTCAAAATTCTATAATCCAAGATGGCGGGTTCCATATAACCGCCATAGAAGTAGTCGAAAATGCAAATATTCAATATCCATGAAACTCATATTATTATATTATAGGGATATTCGACGGTCTTTTAATTCTGAAAGCATAAATTCAAAATACAATATGGCCAAAGTTGAAGGGGTCAAAAAATTCAAATGTTGCTTGAAACCTATGAAATTCATATTACTGAAGTTTTTGATGATGCTTTCTTTACAGCTCATCAATACCATTCAAACTTTTGTTGCTGACAGCTTGGAATAAAGAATATTCACAATATATTTATATTCTATTAATATAGTATAAATATACACACGGGTTAGTCCACTATATTAGATCCGTCCTTTTGAATAGAATGCGTCCTTTTGAATTTTTAACTTTTGAAGTCAGATTCAAATTCAGCAATTTTAAAAACCAAAAGAAACCCAAAAATCTTGATTTTTCACTCCTGTTAGAAAGCTACGTCCCAGAAAAGCCAATTTTGCCCGCCATATTAGATCAACTATTTTGAATATCAAAATTGTGAGGTTCGAATTGATATTCGAATTCAGCGACCCCAAAAACCCCATTGTAGCAAACTCCATGAAAATCGGAAGAAGAGTTTCCAATATAAAAGCAAGGAACAGTTATGATATAAAAAGTGATCACCCGTCCTGAAAGGGTTAACGATTTTATCGATAGAAAATATTTTACATAAAATATAATTTCACGTCTCTCTAAAATAAATGTTTCTTTGCAAAAAATTCCTCAAAACTAAGCGGAACATCTATAATTTAGTAATCTAACATCTATCCTTATGGAAATATCATACTAAGAATCATTGATAATTACTTATTATCCAGTATTTTTAATACTGAAAATAAGTAATTATCAATGATTCTTAGTATGACATTTCTATAAGAGTAGTAATTTAGAAGTTTGTAACGGTCTCCCGTTGGGGTCATGAGTCTTTACGGCTCGGTGCGGTTTCCAGTATCCAATAAGGCAGTGGATATGTATGAACTACTTGTGCTTAGGTGTTGATTGCATTTTTATTAGTTTGTCCGTAAATTTTAAGATATAATTTGGTGTACAATGTAGAGTTGGATGCGCACTTCGGAACGACAGACGCGTGCTTTTCGCTAGTATTGATGCGAGAGAATTATTCGTGCTCTGTTGGTCGCTTTGTGCGTGTTTACGCGTGAACGATTGCGGAGCGAAGTATCTTCGGTAAAACCGCACGGAGCGGTTCATGCTGAAGTGCCGAATATCTTCGACCGAACTGCCGCATGCAGTTCGTAGGAGAAAGGCGGAGTATCGGGTATTCCCGATCGACTGGTTGTTCGTGCTGGGACGGTGGAATGCCGAATATTGCCGAACTGTGATCTGCAGTTCGAGAAGGAAAGGCGGAATATCGAGTATCCCCGATCGAATCGTTCTGTTCGCTAGCAGAGGCTGCGTATTCGCAGCTGAGAGCGAGTTCTTGAGTCGATTTCCTATCGAGAGCGAAGTCGAGATCGATCTGATTTCCTCGGATTTTGGCTCGCATTTTATACATGATTTTCTCGCTTCCCTTATAGAAATATCATACTTAGAATCATTGATAATTACTTATTTTCAGTATTAAAAATACTGGATAATAAGTAATTATCAATGATTCTTAGTATGATATTTCTATAAGGGTTTTCGGTCAATTTCGCCTGTTTTCGCGGATCGTCGACGCTTCTGTTTTGTGTTTATCCGCTGTTTTATTGCGTTATGCTCTCGGCGCTTTCCGCAGTTGTTCGGTAGGTTGTCGTGCGGAGGGCGCGCCGAAGGTTTGGTTGTCGCTTATTGTAACGGTGTTCCACGTACATCATTACAAGTTTACGTAGTTGTTCACAAAATATGTGTGGTAAAGGAATTTTTTGTTCAGCTTAATCTATTCTAACTGTAGCCTCTTTGTGAAAACACTCTATCGTTTCGTAACATAATACTTCATGTCAAGTTTAACACTGTTCCCAAAAAAAATTTTTTCGTTTATTTTAAATTGATCCATAAATGTAAAACATGAATAATCGTTGCTAAAGTTCTCTTAAAAATACAGACATATATTCAAAAGAGAAGTATATATTTTGTTACATCACACTTATTTTAATATTAGTTTACTAATAGCGATTTACACAAATCTCACGATTCAAAAGATTATCTAATCATTTATTGGGAGTGTGAATAAGTTTTCGCCGTTTCACCATCAGATGGCGGTATAAAAATTTTGTGTGTATAATTCAAGATGATGACGCATCTATATTGAAGTTCTATAACCTATGTTTAAAATCAGTGCGTGTCTTTCCATTAACCTATAAAGAACATTTTCTTTTCGTAGCGTAAAACATGTCAAATTTCGTGCCAAATAAACCGTTTTTGCGGGGAATTTTACTGCACTACTTTATTCAGAAGAAATCTGCTGAAGCACACAGAATTCTTGTAGAAACCTATGGTAATCATGCTCTGTCGGAAAGAACATGCAGAGATTGGTTTAACCGATTTAAAAATAGTGATTAAGATGTTCAAGATAGAGAACGCAGTGGTGCACCAAAAAAGTTTCAAGACAAAGAATTGGAAACATTACTTGCTGGAGATCCATGTCAGACGCAATTCGATGTTGCAAAATCATTAGGAGTTGATCGAACAACAGTTTCGAAACGTCTGACAGCATTAGGAATGATACAAAAGGAAGGGTCTTGGGTGCTATATGAACTGAAGCCGAGAGACGTCGAACGGCGTCTTGTCACGTGTGAACAGCTGCTTCAACGACAAAAAAGGAAAGGTTTCTTACATCGTATTGTGACTGGTGATGAAAAGTGGATATACTACAGTAATCCCAAGCATAAAAAATTGTGGGTTAAGCCCGGCGAAGCAGTAGCATCAACGCCAAAGCGGAATATCCACGGTTCCAAGCTCATGCTCTGCATTTGGTGGGATCAGCTGGGGGTAGTGTATTACGAGCTGCTCCAACCCAACCAAACCATCACAGGAGATCTCTATCGACGACAATTGATGTGTTTGAGTCGAGCATTGAAAGAAAAACGGCCGCAATATGAGCAAAGACACGATAAGGTGATTTTGCTGCATGATAACGCTCGGCCGCATGTCGCGTCACCAGTCAAAACATACCTGGAAACGCTGAAATGGGAAGTCCTATCCCACCCGCCGTACTCTCCAGACATTGCGCTTTCTGATTACTACTTATTTCGATCGATGACTAACGGCCTGGCTGAGCAGCACTTCACTTCGTATGAAGAAACGAAAAAATGGATCGATTCGTGGACAGCCGCAAAAGAAGTGTCGTTTTTTCGACGTGGAATTCAAATGCTGCCAGAAAGATGGGAAAAAGTAATCTCCAGCGATGGGCAATACTTTAATTGACTTGTTTTTTTATTATTTTTTTAAAATAAAGGATTTATTTTCATAAAAAACGACGAGAACTTAGTCAAACTCCTAATATTATATCAATTTGAATCACAAAAATTATCTTCTAAATATAAAGGATCAATGTAATATGACCGACGATCAAATAAATTCAACTACATAATGTTACAGAGAACCAAGTGGAATTGATATGAAATGTTATCATAGTTGTTATCTGTTGTTATAAATTTGTAATATAGGCTGAGGTTAGACAAAATCTGTTAATAGACTTTCAACCCACAAAGTTTGAAGAAATTAAAATTATAAATTTTGACAAGTACTCGCAGAAGCAATTTACACTATTATTATAATTAACTTTTTAACTTTCTTATCTCTAGGTGCATCGAGCAGAGCACTATAACCTCATGGGATACATATGTGCTCTTTTGGCAACCCTCTTTACTGCTCTCAACATTGTTGTAATGAGAAAATGCTCGGAGATACACTACTCTATCATAGTTTTGAATTTATCAAGTTGGTCATTTGTCGCTGCTGTGTTCTTTTACATCGTAGTATCTGGCGGTTATGAGCACAAGTTGAAGTTGCCGTATGATTGGTTCATCTGGGGTGAAATCATATTGGTAGCGCTCACCGGCCTCATAGGACAGGTATTGGTGACGAAGGCATTAAAGATTGAAAGCGCTGGAAAAGTATCGGTCACCAGATCTCTGGATATTATCTTAGCATACTTGATTCAGGTGTATCTTTTTGGCGAGAAGCCTACATCGACTAGTGTAACTGGCGCGATTCTAATTATTTTCTCTGTCGTTTGTATGGGTTTCGAGAAGGAGATTTATTCTATTTGTGACTTTATTCCTTAATATATATGAACAGTTGCTATCGTGAATGACAAATCTCAATATAATAAAAAGAACAGAATTTTTTTTAAGAAAAGCAAAAATAGCAGAAAATTTTAATCGGTAAAATTTAATTTTTACTGTTTATTTTTCTTCTTTTATGTGACAACTACTTTAAGGAATTTAAAGAAATAATTTCTTACATTTTTTGTAAAATATAATTGTTCCGAAAGATTAAGAGAAAATATATATTATAATAAAAATTGGCATGACAAATCAAACCTATCCTTTTATAAGATAAATTAGAATATTAGATTTAAGGCTTTCACGGCCATTGATACAATGTCTAGGTATAGCTTCCGGAATGGAGCCGTGTCTTGAATAAGCGATGTGCCGATGTTTCGCAAACGTTGCAGTTTGCATCATCAGGGCTGAGAACTCTGTTACTGAGCTCCCTTGGGTAAAGGTTGTCCTTATATTCCCCCTCTCCCCCTTTGTAGATGGTGTTAGGGAGTAGGGGACGAGGCTTGAATCCAGCCAATTAGCGTATTTTAATTGATCAGCTGGTCATTACTGCCCTCCCGGTTTTTAGTTGACCAGCTGATCAATTAAAATACGCTGATTGGCTTGATTCAAGCCTCGTCCCCTACTCCCTAACACCATCTACACAAAGGGGGGAGGAGGCATATAAGGACAACCTTAACCCAAGGGAGCTCAGTATCAGAGTTCTCAGCCCTGATGATGCAAACTGCAACGTTTGCGAAACGTCGGCACATCGCTGATTCAAGACACGGCTCCATTCCGGAAGCTATACCTAGACAATTAGAATATTATTTTTGTTATATATACGTCCTGAAAGAGGAATACAACTATTTGTCTCATATTCGCGAGTCCCAACGTACCATTTTTTATTTAGTAATCCTATTTGCTCAGAATAATCCTATTTTCATTATTATTATGTATAGAGTACACATAATAGTATACTAAAGTATACACGTTATTAAATACAAAAAAAACATTATTATTTAAATAAAATAAAATTTGATTTTTTAGTCTTTCGCGATGTCCACACATATTAGATTTGGTTTTCGGGTTTAAACCGCTTGGATTTATCTTTGTTTGATTCCGACGTTTCGTAAACATTTCAATCCGCTTCATCAGGGAGGAATGACTCGATGCCGAGTTGCTCCTGAGAAGTCTTCCTTTATATAGTAGTTGGCATAGGGGGAGAGGGAGAAGAAGACAGGAATGTGTGGAGGAGGTTGGCAGAGAGGATAGTGGTGGGAAATTTGTTGTTGTCCTTGGAAATTCAAAAACACCCCAACAATAGGAATAAGGAACAAAAAATCAATCCAATCTGGCAATCCGTCTTCCCGGTTTTCAAAATATGACAGACAACAAATTTCCCACCATTATCCCCTGCCAACCCCTCTATCTTCCTGTCTCCTCCCCCCTCTCCCCCTATACAAACTACTATATAAAGGAATACCTCTCAGAAGCAACTCGGCATCGGGTCATTCCTCCCTGATGAAGCGGAAACCAAATCTAAAATTAAATTTATCTCTGAACTAAAAATAATACTTTGATTTGGTTAGATTAAATATTCTTTTAGAACAAAGAAGTTCTTTAATATTCAAGTATATAATAAAGAGCATTATTTCTTTTAAACAATTTATTACTTGTAATAATTATTTTAAAATATTTGGATAAAAATCCAAAAATAATGGTCTAGATAAATATGGAAAAATATCTAGTCGCTATCTCTGCTGTGTCTTTTCTCTGGTCAGTAAATATTGTACAGTAGCGCGCGCTCTACAAGGACTGCTCCGTAAGTTTTACGACTAGTAAGGAAAACACGGTAATTTGTCATTGAAAATGGCTTTATTGTTTTTCAAAATATTTTCCATGATGATCAATACACTTCTGCATTCGCTTAAACCATTTATTATAGCATCCATGCCACTCCGAAAGTGGTACCTCCAAAACATGTGTTTTAAACGCATCAACCGCTTCTTCTGGCGTCGAAAATCGTTGACCACGCAGTTTATTCTTGATGTTCGGGAACAAAAAGAAGTCATTGGGTGCCAAATTAGGAATGTACGGTGGATGACACATTAATTTGATGTTTTCACTGGTCAAATAGGCGGTTGTTTGAGCCGATGTGTGAGAGCTCGCATTGTCATGGTGAAGAATGATTCGTCGTCTTGAGTTGTTTTTTCTTATTTGACCGAAGACTTCTGGCAAACAAATGGTTGTGTACCACTCAGAATTGACCGTTTTACGTTTCTCTAAGGGTACTGTTGCCACATGACCAGTTTTTCCGAAAAAACAGGCGACCATTTGTTTCGAAGTGCTTCGAGCGCGAACAACTTTTGTTGGGTTAGGTTCACTTTGAAAGACCCACACAGTCGACTGCTGTTTAGTTTCCGGCTCATATGCATAGATCCATGACTCGTCACCTGTGTAGAGGTTATATACGGCATTTGACGCACCTCGATCGAATTTCTTCAGCATTTTTTTGTACTAATTTACACGATCCTTTTTTTGAGCAATTGTCAAATTATGCAGGATCCAACGTGAACAAATTTTTTCACGGTCAAATGTTCATGCAATATCGTTTGTATGCAATTCATACCAACATCTAGGGATGCCAGAATCTCACGGTATGTCTCATGTCGATCTTGCATTATCAATTCACGCACAGCATCGATGTTTTCTGGCACAGCAGCTGATTTTGGACGATCTTCGCGAGGTTCGTCGGTGAGCGAACTACGACCACGATTGAATTCATTAAACCAGCGACAAATAGTGGCCTTGTGTGGTGCTTTATTGCCAAAAGTGGAAGCAAGTTGATCGATGCACTCTTGTCTCGATAATTCACGTCGAAAGTTGTAAAAAATCATCGCACGAAAGTGTTCTCGTGTTAATTCCATTTTTTCGCTGAGACACAATTTTCAAGTCACTGTAAACAATACAAGTAACCTCCGTACGACCAAACGTTTCGAATAAAAACATCTTCCAAACTGTCAAACTTTTTGATGGTAAGGTTAGATTTTATTTAGCAACGCCAGTGTTGCCAAGTCGCAAAACTTACGGAGCAGCCCTCGTAATTGATAATATCTCAGTTTCTACGATCGTGTACCAACAATTTGTTATCACCGTAGCGTAGTTATTTATAGATAGTTTATAGATAGTGTTAAACTTATTGCATGCCAGTTCTTGTGTGTGAGATATTGACTGTCGTATATCGTGTCATATGCCGTGAAGAAGGAAATGAGTGCTCCCGATGTAGACAGTGTTCATTTTTTAAAGCATATAATCTAGTACATTTATCTTCAATATTTGCTCGTAAATACATCTTAATAATATATTTTATATAACTGATATTTTACTCTTTTTTGCGTGTCGTATAAAAAAATGCTTGATATAGTTTTCAGGCTAATACCAAGATTTGTTATTTTTTCCGAAACGTTCACGCTCACGTTTATGAACATCCCATTTCTTTCATTTTCAACATCGTTCCTCTTCTTGAAGAAGTGAACTGTAATGTTCACGAAATGTCGAAAACAAATCCATGAAAGACGCAGCACCAGCCTGAGAGCTACGGGCTTAAAACTCGTATATCAAGTATCTTTTGTATAACTATTGTTACACTCGTTCACTCGCACTCATATCCGGACAATAAATAAGTTGATTCATTTAAAAACTAGGAACGTTTAATAGGTTATTGTTTACAGACTTGTGCTTTCGGTCGTATTATGAAATCTTTCGCTATCAGCTGTTAAACGTCCGCACGCATTGACAGCTCGAGAACAACTTAATCGTCAACCGTTGTTTTCCCGTCATCAAAAAGACTTCTACAATTCTTCTTTTTGTCTATTGACAAGAGTAACTTTTTTAACTCTTCCGGAAATACCGACGTAACATTATTATAAAGATATGATTACCGAGTTTATCACACAAGTTCATCATATAATTTAAATATATTTTTAATCTTTTGATAATTAAATACTTTCTGTATATTGACTCTGAATCCCCAAATCTCTCTTCTTTTTCTCTTTTTTATTACATCTCTCCTTATTCTTTACTGTTTTATCTATCTATGCATCTATTATTTTACAGAACATAAAATTAACGACATGGTTCTATTACATTTATTAACTGATAAAGATTTTAAGAAATTAGTTTATTAGGTTTATAGTTTTATTGAGAAATCGAATTGATTGAGAAGAAGAAAATGAATTTTTCATAAAAATATATTTACTGTAGAAAATAATACTAGTGTTACTAGTACTTTCGTAGAAAAATTGTATAAAACTAACGAGTCCTAAGTTATGTATATGTAACAATCCGTAATTAGAACAAACCGGTATAATGGACCGTTACAATAAAACCGAAATAAACATAAGAAACCATCATATTGTTACGAACAAAAAGCAACAAGCGAAACATGTAAGATTCGCGTATAAAAACCGTCGCGAAAACCTAGATGGCACGCAGTTCTTCCGAGGCGCTCAGCCGAAAAAAGCTAGACTCTGACAGTAGAGGAATCTCGAGAATTTGTCAACCGCTATAAACCCGCAGTATCCTCGATATCGCTTCCTAACCCATTCCCGTCGACTAAGTGAATGCGCGACGTCGACATCGTCCTGACCATCTCCGTCGACTGAGTGGATGCACGACGTCGACACCATCCTGACTATCTCCGTCGACTGAGTGGATACGCGATGTCGACATCATCCTGACGATCTCTGTCGATCGACTAGATGCGCAACGTCGACACTATCCTGACCATTCCGTCGACTGAGTAGATGCGATAAGTCGATAACGGTTCCCGGACGATCCCCAATCCGTAACGATCTGATCCGCACCGATTCGTCGTAGAACCGCCTATACGTGGTCCCACCCCGTTTACATAATCTCGGCCTCGCAGCTCGAGATTTCGCCTTCGCTGAGTTGCCTCCGCGCGAACTCACTTCCGTTACTCACTCTCAATATCGCAGCATACACAATCGAGAGTCAGCCCGCAATCATTGAGTCGCACCCGCGCAAACTCGACTCTGTTGATACAATCTCGGTATCGCAAGAGTCACGATCGAGATCCCGCCGTCATTAAGGCGCATCGGCGCGCCCTCAACTTTGTGTACCGATTTCCTCTTCG